CGCTGGCAAACCATCCATCCCCGAAGCTTTAAGGTCTCCAACACTATCCAGGGCTACTTTAACTTCCTCAGCCGTAAATTCTACCGAGAGAAAATCATTCATCTGGGGCGTGACTTTGGATGTGATGTGGTTTAGAATCGCCGCCGCCTCCGCACCTGCCATGGTGGTAAACAAGCTAGAGAAATAGTTAGCTACGAGGGCTTTTAAACTCTCCTCCCCATACACCTCCACACCCTCCTCCCTCTTTAGTTTATGTTAGTATTCCTCTTCTTCCTCTCTGATGCAAAGGCCTGGAAATACTTTGTGTTTCGGTCTCCCTTCGACAACCAATCCGCATGTGCTCTTTGGCAGTACACAAGATCCAGTTGGTCCTCTAGTTTTTCCAGCTTGTATTTGACTGTGAGCTCACGACGAACCTGTGCCTGGGAATTGGTTGGCGCCGGACCGTTTCCATTCGTCCTTGAGTTTACCAGCCCTCTTCTGGAGGTCACCTAGTACATCTCGGCTCCAAATGTGTAGGGCTCTATTAACTGCTCCCAACTTACTTGCCACCGACGGACCTTCTGCCCTTTCACATGCTGCCCGCACTAGGTCATCACATCCCTCCTCAAGTAGCCAGCATGCTTCGAATCTTTTGACCTGCAGGCCACTCGGTCTATCCCCTGAACCCCTGTTGCCATTCAGCCACAGAATCACCGGCCTGTGGTCAGAGTGTTGTGGATCACCATTTACCACTTTATAGTGCGGGAAACGAGCACACCAGGTTGGGGAAGAAACAACCATGTCCAGACGCTCACGAATGTAACCATCAACATGAAAATTATTATTTCTCCAAGTGAACACATCACCCTCGAAACCAAGGTCATTAAGATTACAAGTTTCTAAAGCATCACAAAAAATTTGCATCAAAGAGTGCCCTCTAGGCACACCCCCTTGCTTCTCATGGTTGAACAAAATCTCATTAAAGTCACCAAGACAAACCCAGGAGAGGCTAGACTAATGATTAAGGGTCCTCATGAGTCTCCAAGTATCAAACTTCTTTTCCATTCGAGGTTCACCATATATGCCTGTGAGCCCCGATTTGAAACCATCAACCTCCTACACTATGACATCGATATGCATCCACCCCATCCATCTAAGTGTCACATCCACACCCCTTTTCCAGAACAACGCTAGGCCACCACTCTTCCCCACGTTGTCCTTCACTAACAGATGTTGCATCCCCAACTTTCCACGAAACTTCTCCATCCTCCTCTTATCCAGGTGATTTTTAGACAAAAATAAGATGTCGGGATCCTCCTTCTGGAGAGCCAGAAGGCCACGAACCGCTGGGCCATTTCCCAAACCCTGGCAGTTCCAAGCAATAACCTTCATTGTGGCTTACCGGGCTGTACCTGTAGCCCGGCGCTTCGATCACACAGCTTCTCACTACCTTCCTCACCCATCACCTTCAACTTCTTCTTCCCTTCCTCTTCGTCTTCGTCGTCCTCCACCTGCGTCATCCCCCTCTTCTCCCCCAACACGTGCGCTCCCCCTCCAGCTCCATCAATATGTTTCCTCCCCTTCACCCTTTTTGGAAGTACCTCTACCTTCCTTGACATCATCTTTTTTTCCTTTGGATGTGAGACTGGAGCCCCTCCACATTCTCCCCACTACTCCTCACATCGATCTCCATGGGCTTCTGAATGGCCTCGTAAGCTGTGCCTTTGGCCGGGTCTGTTGGCACTGGCTGGGTAGCCCCCTGTTTGGCTGGTGCGGGACATCTCTTGGGATCTGCAGCGTGAGCTAGCGGGTCCTCCACCTTTTCCTGCATAACCACAGTAGCATGCACGTCCACCGGGCCACAAGCCGACCCCTTCGCCCCCGCTGTATCACTTCTTTGGAGTGCATCCACCTGCCCTATTCCTTCTTTCGCCTTCGCAAGCACCTCCTCCGTCCCAGCTGCTTGGCCAAGAACCCCTTTGTTCACACCACCTCGCCCAGGCTGCATCACTGTGTCTTCAAAAGTGAGTCTCTTTTGTGAGCCCCCTCGATCACCTCTGTTCGTGTTCTTTAGTGGACTAGTAACCTCATGGCCCCGCTCCTCCTCATGTGCCATGTCTGCCCAGCTCGTACCCTTCTTCCTCCAGATGGTGCATCGCTTCCAGACAAAGATCTCCCCTTCCACGACCCTGTGCTTCTTGAACTCTGTCCTCTTCCACCCGTGGTCGACCGCGCCCCAGCCCTCCTCTTGTCCATGTTGGCCCTAAGCCACGGACCAAACTGCCTACGTTCACCCCTCTTCAAATGGACCTTGCACATCTTGTCAACATGGCAAAGGATCCCACACTTATAGCAGAAATTCGGCAGGTACTCATACTCGAAAGGGCACCAGTTCCGATCCTCCTCCACATCGGTATCCATACCACTCTTTATCAGGTTGTCTTCCTCCACCTCCTCCTCAAGAGTGAAGCCCCTCATAAGGGGAGCTTTGATTTTCATCCTAACCTTCACCCGCAGGTATCTACCTACGGCTTCTCCGTTTTCCCGGGTGTCTACATCCAGGACCTCACTGATTTTAGCCCCAATAGTTTCACCAGTTTCTCTAGTCATCAGACTCGACGGCACACCTACCCAGATCAGGATAGTATCAAAATAGTAGTCCTCAATGCGTTTCCTGGGCACAAAGTCCTCCAAAACTAGCAGATCATTACCAAATTCCCAAGCCCCCCGTCCAGTGCCATCCTCTTCCCCGACTCCTGCCCAAAGGTAAAGTGGAAGATGTTTTCCCCAGCCTCCTTGTAATCCACACCTTTGATAGGGCACCATATCCGACCAAGGGTTTCCTCCATGGCCTCCACAAACACTGTTTCTCCGACATCAACTGGGCCAACACTTGTGGTTCCACAACACCTGCCTTACCGGACCCCGCCCATCCGATCTTGATCCCCTTCTTTTCCTTCTCCGACAGACGCGGATCCTTCAACAAACCCTCGACCTTCCCCCGATCCCCATAGCCCGAGCCGGATTCAATCTGAGGAATCTAGGGTGACTAGTGGTGTACCATCACGCGCCCTAGACTCGCACAAAAGGCTTTTGGTGGTGGGAGGAGGGAAACGTGGGCGGCCACAACAGTTGCGGCCGCGCGAGCGATGGAGGGAGACGTCACAAATGGGGGAGCAAGGACCGGCGGCAGGATGGGTCGCGCCGCACAGGAAACCCTAGATCGCCGAACAAGTCGCCTGAGAGGGAGCAACCGTCACTCGCGGGACGGACCGCCCGCACTCAATGGATATTGATGACTGTTCGAAAGTTCAGCTGAAGAATAGCGGACGTGCACACGTATTTTTGTTCTATGAACGGTTTTTTCAACAGTGCCTACGTTTCAGTTACTTATCTAGTTTTCTATTGATTTTTCGTTAATTATTTCAGTTTTGTATTTGTTTTCATTCTTAGTTGTGGATATTTTTATTTCTGTATTTGTTAGTACAAGCGAAACACACACTGATGCCATGCGGTTGCAGGCGCAAGCACTCCTATGTCTCTCAGGCTCTCAGCACGAACATGCTTATACGTATGCAGATGGAAATCTGCACTCTTCACTGTACCGCTCGTCCATTCTGCCCAAAATGTCACTCGCGTTCGCGTGACACAACTAATAGAGAAGATATACTATGCATTACAAGTAATTACAAGTAACAAAGACAAGCTATTAATATCAGACGGTGATCACGCCGGTAGCAGATGTTTAAACCAAGACTGGGTCGGGAAACAAGCAGGAGACTCGTGAAGATCTTACCATCTATGATAGGCAGAAGATCGAGGTTATAATAAGTCATTCATAACAGAGACCAAGCTGTGGAACGGCAGCACCAGACGTTCTCACAAACGGCACAGGACTACGGATGTCCGAGTGAAAAACACACTTCACCCAGACGTAAGACAAGCAAAGAAACGACAGGGGAAGAGGCTACCAGGGGCGACAAATACGGAAACACACATCACACATGCGTACTTACGAATCAAATTTCCAGGGCCCAAAGAACTCATTGGCTACCACGCAGGGGGAGCACCAGATGGAGAGTGAACTCGTTCTGAATGTTGTAATCTGCAAGAGTGAGGCCATCCTCGAGCTGCTTACGGGCGACGATCAGGCGCTGCTGGGATGCTGGGATGCCCTCCTTGTCTTGGATTTTGGTCTTCACATTCTCGATCGTGTCAGATGGAGAACCACGTGGAGGGTGGACTCCTTCTGGATGTTATAATCAGCACGAATGCCGCCCATCCTCAAGTCAAGCTGCTTGCTGGCGAAGATCAACCGCTGCTGGTCTGGGGGGATGCTCTCCTCTTTGTTTCGACATTATCAATCATGTCAGAAGACTCGACCTTGAGGGTGATGGTCTTACCGGTGTCTTCATCAAGATCTGCATGCCACCCTTGAGCCTAAGCACTATGTGGACAACTTCTGGTTATTGTAATCAGCAAGCATCCCCCCATCCTCGAGCTGCTTACCAGCAAAGATGAGCCTCTGCTGGTCCGGCGGAATGCCCTCCTTGTCCTGTATATTTGCCTTGTGCCAGAGGACTCGGCCTCAAGGATGATGGTCATGCCGGTGGGTGTCTTCACAAAGATCTGCATCAGCATACTTGGAAATTGCAAAGAAAACAGGGCAAGTCAACAAGGCATATATGACCAGAAAAACAAGGGATATCTAAATCTTGCGACAGATAGGCGTAGTTGGAAATTGCAAACAGAACAAGGCAATTCACCATGTTTACATGAACAGATCAACAAGTCATGCGATCTGTACTTCATAATAACAAGGGCAGAGAAACCATGTACTGTCAATTTTTTCTTTTATAGAATTATTATTATAGGCACTTCCCAGTTACCGGACTGGAACAACCCAGACCTTCCCACGCCACCAACTGAACTAATCAACACCCAACCTCAATATTATTTACAAGCACAGGCCACAGCTCTATGAGTAGGTCAAAGGACATGGAACTGGAAGGCAATAACTACTGTGAAATGACCATGCTGCCGCAACCACCGCCACAGCCAGAACCGCATCCGCCTGACTTGGCGAATCCAGTCTTGGAGCTTTCCATTACCATGCTGCCGCAACCACCGCCACAGCCCGAACCACAACCACCACCACAGCCTGAACCACAACCGCCTGACTTGGCGAAGCCGGTCTTGGAGCTTTCCATGACCATGCTGCTGTAACCACCGCCACAGCCCGAACCACAACCACCACCACAGCCCGAACCGCAACCGCCTGACTTGACGAAGCCAGTCTTGGAGCTTTCCATGACCATGCCGCCACAGCCTCCACCACCACAACCTGAACCGCAGCCACCTGACTTGGTGTTCCCCTCCTGGGAGCTTTCAATAACCATGCTGCCACCGCAGGAACTGCTGCATCCCGATCCACACCCAGCAGACTCAATATGGCCATTCTCGCCACCTGCAACGACGCCACAGCTCGCATGACCTTTCTTGTAGATGGTGACCACAGAGACACCGCTTCCACCACCATTGTCTGAGCCACAACCACCGCACTTAGAATCAGCCACCTTGCTGCTTGAAGTGACTGACCCGCCACAGCTAGCATGATCAGCCTTGTCACTTGCCATGACCATGTTACTGCCACCAGCCGTGCCACAAGGGCCACACTGCGCAGCAGTGGCACCTGCTGCTCCACCTTTTACCATTTCAGAGGTCACTGTAGTATCAGCCTCAACGGTTCCACCCTTATGTACCATGGCACCTTCGATGAGCTTCACACCATCTTTGCCAATGGAATTCAGGAACAAGAATGATATTGTGACCCAGGGAAGCAGAAACCAATCCTCATCAACCTAAATTTAAGTAAGAACACCATGAGTATATCTGAGATGCAAGGAAATTAATCTTTACTGCTCCCTCTGTCCCATAATATAAGATGTTATTACAATCGACATATGAGTACATCTTATATTATTATGGGACAGAGGGGAGTACTTAGAAGGATATGACATCAGAGCTGAGCATTGTACCGTGATAAATTCTGATTCTGTGTCAAGTAGTGCGACTGCTTTGCCATAGGGGTGTTCAGCTGAGAACTTCACAGCAGTAACTGCTGTAGTATCTTCAGCATGCTGACTGCAGCATTTGAGTTCATATGCTAGTCTCCTTCCCCTGTATAGTTTGATCTGTTTTGTTCAAAGAAGTACCAGAACTGTGAGTATGTTAAATGCATAAACGTTTTATTTATTTACATATAACTTGATGTAATGACTATCTTTTGAGCGAACAGACTGCCTGTATGAAATGAGCTGTAGACTGCAGTTGTCCTTACCAGTTTGTTGCCGTATTTGAGCTCGTGTATGCAGCCATCCTTGCTTGGTTTCAGGTCATGAGTGATATATAAGTTGGAGTTGTTAAAAGACCATTGGTTTTTTGTGAATTCTGCAAGCTGAAATGGTTGCTTTGATGACTTTGTTACTCCAACCAATTCTCGAATGAGAGCCATGCCACTCTTGGCCTTGTGCTCCCTGAAGTAAAGAGGAGGAAATTCTCATTAGAGCAGAAGAAATTGATATTTCTTTCTTAAACATAGGCAAATAAAACTTTCCAGTGTCCACTTGAATAAATTTGGATCTGTTTTGAAGGTAATGTACAAATACTTCTATATAAGTTGAATATCAATTCCTGAAGAAAATATGAATTTGTAGTTTGAAATGAAGATGCAATAACACCATATGCTATTAGCAATCAATGTTAATTTGTTTCTAGAAAAAATTGTCAGTAAGTATCATGCAGGACTTACAAATCAGCATACAAATGCGTTTCTAGAGTCAATGTACATTTCTTCACTGACATGTATGATTGATACCAACAACAACAAAGCCTTTAGTCCCAAGCAAGTTGGGGTAGGCTAGAGGTGAAACCCATAAGATCTCGCAACCAACTCATGGCTCTGGCACATGTATGATTGATACCACAGTAAAAAAAATACCTTATCTGAAGACGAATGAGTTCAGTACCAGAGTCATACACGAAGCGAGTCCAGGAGCTCATATTTTGATCCTTGATGGAATGTGGCAATAGACAGGCCTTCAGAGAGAAAGGCTTCACATTGACCATGCTAAGAACCTGTGGAGCCTGCCTTGGGACAGTACAAGATGCAGCAACACGAAGACTGACAGGAGCGGAACCAGCATATGCACCACGACTTCTCAGTTCAAACCACCTCTCAAAGGAAAGCCTCGAATCATGCTGTGTAAGCTCTTGAAGAGAGATTGAAACCTTCCCCAATGGTTCTGATTTCTTCAATGACGAGGCCCCAAAATACGCCTGATCAACCATTGCTGTAAGAATGAGTTCGCCAGTAGGTTCACATTGGAAACCAGCTCCGATACTCTTCCCTGTTTTCGTTGAAATATCTAACCTGCCGCCATCACTGATAAATACATCTGGTTGAGTCTTGGTGAACCACACGTACACACTTTTCTCTGGAATTGCAGATGGTAAATTCTTGATGTCCACAATCTGTAAATATAACTGCAAAGGATGAAAATATTTTGAGTTCATAAATTCAGTAAATGTCTCTTGGCAAAAGAAGCGCTCGATCGTGTTTTTAGATAACAAATATTAGGCGTGCTTCCAAATCAATAATAATATTAATAGTACAAGATACCACATTTTAGGTTATTTTATAAGATCAGAAAAATCTTTGAAATCGAAATTATTGTACTTCTGTGACTATTGCTTCATGGACAACAATAAGATGTAAAAAGAGCATCATACCTCGACAACTGTTGTTTCAAGAATAGTAAGATGCTTCTCTGCTTTATCGACACCAAAAGCAGTATCATCCTCACTACTAAATATCTGCGGAATGGATGTCACGGGAGATGGCAAGCTTCCACGGTACATAGCACCAACCTTCCAGTATCTCAGACCAAAGGTATTCTCGAACTGCTCGGTGGTCCCTGAAAATCCGGTGTCGAGCTTCTTTCCTTCAGCTCGGTCATCATCTGTATCATCATGCTCCAGAACTCTTCCAAGGAGATTCAGCATGTCACTGTAGTAGGTGACAGAATTCAGTTGGTGGGTGTGCCACATTAGATCCACATCATAGGTTGGCACACGAAAGAGTTTCATTCCTTTCTCCTGATTCACCTTGATCAAATACAAAAAACCTTTGTATCGAGCTAGAGCTTCTTCAAGAAAACGATGATCATGCATGTTTGGTGTTCCAACCTGCCAGAAACAAAGGAGCTCACTGACTTTCTGTACATATTTTTTTATTTATTGTTCTTCAATTTTTTTTCTTTTACGAAAAGGCAGTAGCACTGCTTTTCTATTGCTTTCTTCCACATGTATGGATCAACAGTTACCCTACTTCTGAACTATCACCAACATTTGCTAGCCCAATAAAATCAGGTATCAATCTGCTTGTGAAATTTAGAATAGCTAACTTTTAGATATCAGTCGTTCAATCATGGGTAATTTACCAGATTGACTTGTCTTATATGTAGTATATCAGAGCAAAGGTTAGTAATGTAACTACCTCGTAGACGAAAGAAGACTGTCTCCTAACAGCTGAGATCAAATCATAGGAAATGCCTCCTGCAGTTCCATCACCCACGTAAACAAAATCGTCAGGACTTGAGTACTCCAACTCAAAAGGCTCCCCAGGATATAACTCGGTCCAAACTTTCTCAGCCTGATCCCTGGACTTTGCTTGAATGGAGGACTTGACATTGTTAGTGCCCAGTATTCTGCCATATAATCTCTTGCAGTCCTTTATGTATTGAGTCTGAGAGATATTGTTGTTAGCACAGCAAAGCCAGAAACAATACAAGATGATTTTGATTTAGACATTTCCAACCATGTTCACTAGTATTTTCTTTTATGCCAAGAGGTGCAAATAGCCAAATACTAGTTCTCTAATGTGGTGTTCACAGATTTTGAACGAGACACGAGCATCTGTCAGTTAATAACTTAATATGCATACCGGGTTAAGCCGATGGCAGTGCCATATCCATTCACAATCAAGTGGGACAACCAACGGCTCATCTGCAACAACGGCCTCAGTGTGCTTGGCAAGAAGGGGAAGCCAGCAAGCTTTGTACCTAGCACCACAACAAAGTCAATATTTTAAAGTCTATATACGACACAGAACATAAATTAATTTAGTATCACTGATTCTTTTACATAGTATCAGTGATTTCAGCATGGGGACTTTGAACGTAAATAAGCAGCCAGATTTTCATGCCAAAATTTCCGGATAAGGCCAGAACTGTAGCAACAAATTGTAACTGAAAGCACAGACCAGATGATGGTTTCAGAAAAATTACTGGCGATGCCATTCCTTAAAACTGAAAACCTAAAGATTCCTGGTTTTCGCCCCATTTTCCACTAATTAACTGGGCAACTCTCTTCTGCTTAATTAATGGACGAGGCAACCGTTTCGGGAAAAAAAAAACTAAACATTCTCAGTTCAACTCTTCCACCAACCTATATTAAGGTAAACTAAACTAGTAGTTTTGTCTAATTTTCCTCCAGCAGGTGTTTGTCAGGAGACATGGAAAACGTTCCAAATAGTGATTGGCAAGAGTTATCCTGAAATTCACCAAGAGTTTGTCGAAATATGGCAATGATTACTGACAAATTTTATTCCCAACACACCCTAGAGTAGAGACTGTTCATCAACAATACCCCGGCAGAAAAATAATGAAACACCACAGAAAATAAACTAATTTTCAGACTCAAAGGTCTCTTGTGTAAGTTGTGTTGTTGAAAAGCCAATAAGATGACAATACCTGTGTATGGCCCTGTGGAGCAGCGGGCCCTCGTAGAGCCACCGGCGGCGGTCAACCGCGGCGATGAACTCCAGGTGCTGCAGCGCGGCTGGGACGAGGTCCTCGCCGATGCCGATCCCCTGCGCCGCCGCCCACCGCGACTCCTGTTCCGCGTCCATCTTCTCTCCCCCTTCCTCCGAACGACCTGCAGTTCAGGTAATTGGGTTAAACATCGGGAACCCCGCAAGAAGAACGGATTGATAGCTTGGGGGAAGAGGGAATCGGTGGCGTGCGCATACCTTGACGGCGAGGGAGGTTCGCGGGAGCTGAAGATCGATCGCTTGGATTTTTCCGGTTGGAATCAGGGGGGCCGAGTTGATGCGGGTGGGTAAGGGAAAGGAGACCGGCTCGATTACAACACGGCTCAGCCGGCACCCGAGCCGAGCGGGTAGTTCAGGAGGCTGCGGATTTTTCTTTTTCCTTCTAAAGCTCACTATGCACTTTTTTACCTTGTGAACACTAGTAAGCATGCACGTGCAACGCACGTATCCTAGTCTATAAGAACATCTAATTTGAGTCTTATTTCTCCTTTAATGAGTCTTTTTTATCAAGCCATTTAAAAAATATGGCTTACTCCAGTAAAGGGACATCGTCGAGCATGCTGATGCACAAGCAAAGTTCATGTATCAAGTCGCGGTTTGTTGAATTGACAGACGGTCAAAGGAGAAATGCCTGAGCTAAACTTTAGATGATATATGTGATGTTTTGAGGTTTTTAGGGGGATCTATTCAGAATCATGCAATCATGACGTCTGTGTAATTTTCGCCATCTCCCAAAGTCTCGATTTCTTATATTATCACCATTCAATTATGAGTCCACTAAAATAATACTCCATCCGTCCAAAAATATGTGACTCAAGTTTGTACTGAAATTAGTACAAAGTTGAGTCACTAATATTGGGATGGAGGGAGTAGTTTTTTTTAAAATATGTCATATGAGCCTATTAACCGATAATTATAACATCCATAGACCACAAAATGACTTGCATGATTACATAATTCAAATATATTCAATAAGAACAATCATTTTTTACAAATATCATGACTGAATATTTTGTTAAACCCTTATTCCGTGAAAAAGATCACAACCAGACAACCATACGGACACACCCGATAAGAAAAAAGAATTGAAGAACATCCGACCCTAATATAAACCAAATGACCAAAAAGGCTATCCATAAGTAAAAATTTGAATTGGACAAAGCATATATTTTTTTCGAGAGGAACCCCTATACTTTTTCTTGACAAAGGAACCCCGTACTTAATACTTTTTTTTGCCATAACCTATAGTACTAAAATACTTGACCAAAATGAGTGGGCCATCAATCAAGAAAGAAAAAAGGAAGACACGCCAGACGCTCCCTCCCTGTTCTCCTCATACCTTCACTCCCTCCCCCACCGCTCCCCATTCCATGGTGGCCCCGCCTGCTCTCCCCACTGCCTCATCTACCCACCACGGCCTCGCCCCGTCGGCCGCCGCCTCCTCTCCCCACCATGGCCTCGGCCCGCCGCCTTCTCTCCCCACCACGACCTTACCTTGCCGGCTTGCCGCTAACCCCGCCGTTCTTCCCTAGATCGACTCTGTCGCCGCCGTCCACATCTTCCAGCGCAGATCAAGATGTGAGCTAGAGGAGCATCCTGGAAACGATGCGGCAGCGGGCATCTCGGAGCGGGCCGAGTTCCAGTTAGTCTACGTGCCCACCGTGATAGTCGACCTCGTGCTTCGCTCCCACACCTGCTCCGAGAAGGCGCTCCTAGCTCGCCTACGTGGTCGGTTGCCCCAGGTACTTCTGGATGCAGGCATTCGCAACTGTGAACTCGAGTTTAACAAACGGTATATCACTACTGGATGGTGAACACACACAGTGGTGCTTTTATTGATAGAAAGTCAGGATCCTTTCTCTTAAGAGGCTACTGTAAGAAATGGTAACTTGGGGCATGACTTGCAAGAAAGGGATTGTATGACAGAATGATATTACTTCACGGTAGAGTTTCTGCATCTGGAGATCAAGTTTATCTTGGTGTCTCATGTCAGTTTTATTGTGTGTGTGTGTGTGTGTTTCAGTAACACATTTACTGTTCTGATGATCTTGCGAATTTGTGAGCCGAAAAAATGATGACTTAGATAGTTGCGTTCTGATAAGTATGCTGAGCAGAAATAACAGGCGGTCATCTATTATATGATATGTTAAATTAAATGATGATTTTTTATTAGGTGCAGTTTAGAATTTTGAGTGTACAATTCATCCTGTAATGAGAGACCACACACTTAAAAGTTTCTTTAGATTGAAAATGGCTGTATCTGATTGCTAAATCCTAATTGCTATCCATTCCAGTACAATACTTATGTAGCTCAGTAGTCTAGGTTTGAACATGAGAGTCATTTTCGAATTGGAGAGAAAAAATATAATTTGGGGTGATCCTGTTTTCCTACTGTCTAATCTTGGAGTAAGCTTGTCCTGAATATATGTGAACTCTTTTGGCACTTTGTGGTTCTTTTTAGTCTCTCCGGTTAATATAACCAATTCATTATTATTTTTATGTTATTTGTCTTTCACATGAAGATTCATTCTTTCTGGTTGTTTAGAAGGACAAATAGATGTCGATCAGTTTGAGCGTGCGGGATAGCTTATGTGTGTCTGTTATTTGGAGTGGGCAATTCCTGTGTTTTTCTTCTCACACTTCAGTTCTAGTCATACATGCAAGAAAGGAAACTGGGTTATGTATGTTCATGCCAAATAAACATCAGGAGGTAATGATGACATGTTGCTAACTTCTGCCAAGCCATTCTTACGAATGTTGTTTGTTTGCAGGATGTAGCTTGGGAAGGTCAGACTGTTGGAGTTGAAGCAGTTGTAGATTTCTTCAAGGCAAAAATAAAGCATTTGCACTTGGTGAGATGAAAAAGGTTAGCTTTCAGGTTTTGTTTCTGTTGGGGAACGTAGCAGAAATTCAAAAAATTTCCTACGTATCACCAAGATCTATCTATGGAGAGACCAGCAACGAGTAGAAAGAGAGTGCATCTACATACCCTTGTAGATCGCTAAGCGGAAGCGTTCAAGTGAACGGGGTTGATGGAGTCGTACTCGTCGTGATTCAGATCACTGATGATCCTAGTGCCGAACGGACAGCACCTCCGCGTTCAACACACGTACAGCTCGACGATGTCTCCCACGCCTTGATCCAGCAAGGAGAGAGGGAGAGGGAGAGGAAGACTCCATCCAGCAGCAGCACAACGGCGTGGTGGTGATGGAGGAGCGTGGCAATCCTGCAGGGCTTCGCCGAGCACCTACGGGAGAGGAGATGTGTCACGGGAGGGAGAGGGAGGCAACCAAAGGCCTTAGGTGTGATTGCTCCTCCTTTTCCCCACTATATATAGGGGCAGGGGAGAGGGGGGAGGCGCAGCCTTGCCCCCTCCTCCAAGGAAGGGGTGCGGCTAAGGATGGGGAGGAGTCCATCCTCCCCAAGGCACCTTGGAGGTGCCTTCCCCCTTTAGGACTCTCCCCTTTTTCCTTTATCTTGGCGCATGGGCCTCTAGGGGCTGGTGCCCTTGGCCCATGTAGGCCAAGGCGCACCCCCTACAGCCCATGTGGCCCCCCGGGGCAGGTGGCCCCACCCGGTGGGCCCCCGGGACCCTTCCGGTGGTCCCGGTACAATACCGATGACCCCGAAACTTGTCCCGATGGCCGAAACAGGACTTCCTATATATAAATCTTTACCTCCGGACCATTCCGGAACTCCTCGTGACGTCCGGGATCTCATCCGGGACTCCGAACAACATTCGGTAACCACATACAAGCTTCCTTTATAACCCTAGCGTCATCGAACCTTAAGTGTGTAGACCCTACGGGTTCGGGAGACATGCAGACATGACCGAGATGTTCTCCGGTCAATAACCAATAGCGGGATCTGGATACCCATGTTGGCTCCCACATGTTCCATGATGATCTCATCGGATGAACCACGATGTCAAGGACTCAATCAATCCCGTATACAATTCCCTTTGTCTAGCGGTATGGTACTTGCCCGAGATTCGATCGTCGGTATACCGATACCTTGTTCAATCTCGTTACCGGCAAGTCTCTTTACTCGTTCCGTAACACATCATCCCGTGATCAACCCCTTGGTCACATTGTGCACATTATGATGATGTCCTACCGAGTGGGCCCAGAGATACCTCTCCGTTTACACGGAGTGACAAAATCCCAATCTCGATTCGTGCCAACCCAACAGACACTTTCAGAGATACCCGTAGTGTACCTTTATAGCCACCCAGTTACGTTGTGACGTTTGGCACACCCAAAGCACTCCTACGGTATCCGGGAGTTGCACAATCTCATGGTCTAAGGAAATGATACTTGACATTAGAAAAGCTTTAGCATACGAACTACATGATATTGTGCTAGGCTTAGGATTGGGTCTTGTCCATCACATCATTCTCCTAATGATGTGATCCCGTTATCAACGACATCCAATGTCCATGGTCAGGAAACCGTAACCATCTATTGATTAACGAGCTAGTCAACTAGAGGCTTACTAGGGACATGGTGTTGTCTATGTATCCACACATGTATCTGAGTTTCCTATCAATACAATTCTAGCATGGATAATAAACGATTATCATGAACAAGGAAATATAATAATAATCAATTTATTATTGCCTCTAGGGCATATTTCCAACAGTCTCCCACTTGCACTAGAGTCAATAATCTAGTTCACATCGCCATGTGATTAACACTGACAAGTCACATCGTCATGTGACTAACACCCAAAGAGTTCTGGGTTTGATCATGTTGCTTGTGAGAGAGGTTTTAGTCAACGGGTCTGAAACTTTTCAGATCCGTGTGTGCTTTACAAATCTCTATGTCATCTCCTAGATGCAGCTACCACGCTCTATTTGGAGCTATTCCAAATAACTGTTCTACTTGGAGCTATTCTAAATTGTTGCTCCATTATACGTATCCGGTATCTCTACTCAGAGCTATCCGGATAGGTGTTAAGCTTGCATCGACGTAACCCTTTACGACGAACCCCTTTACCACCTCCATAATCGAGAAAATTCCTTAGTCCACTAGTTACTAAGGATAACTTTGACCGCTGTCCCGTGATCCATTCTTGGA